GACAGGACCAACCCATGTTTGTTTTGTCAGGCTTGACCTCAGTCTTGCACATAACAGATGCTGGCCACCAAGTATGTTATTATACAGCCAACGTGGGGAGGATTCTTCTCCAGAATCTGAGGTCCAGTGGGGCCACCAAGGCCTGCTCACCATCCAGTAATGGTGGGAATGTTCAGGTGGGAATGTTCAGGCAGGATTGTCTCTGGTCTGCTCAGCCTTGTTCTGTCCCCCTTGCCAGGCTCTCACTTTCCTCTCTTTCCTACAGACGATGATGCCTTTGAGCCCGTGGAAGCTGGCCCACTGAACCCAGGGGATGGAGACACTGAAGGTGCATTGCCTCGGCACTTGGAGCAGCCTCTGCCCCCTGCGGGGGCCTCCCTAGCAGACCTGGAAGACTCTGCTGACAGCAGCAGCACCCTGCTTGTGCCCCCAGAACCTCCCCAGAGTGGGAGCACCCCAACTGCAGAGGTGCCACCAGTGGGTGGCTGCCATAATCGTGGCTCCCTCAATACCATGGTGTAGATGGCTTAGCTTACAGTTCCAATGGGCTAGAGCACCTGTTGGCTGTCAAGAAGACATTGGTTCCTGTGGGAGGGGCCACAGCCTGGAACCCTGTTCCACTGCTGCATACCCACTGGCAAGCGTGTGTGTACATAGAATGCGGCCAGCCTCCCTCCAAGAGGAGCAAGCATCTGTGCTGTTTCCTTGAGGGGTTCACAAACATGGCATAGCTTTTGGTCACTATCCCTTTTTAAATGGGAGAAGGACAAAATGTTCAAACCATGCGTTTTGGAGGTAGGGAACAAAAGGTACTGAGCTATGCTCAAATGAAACACATCTTGGGCTTGCTCACTATAATGTGCCACCCAGTGAAGTCTGCTGGCCAGTCACCAACCAATCGCTGAGTCCCAGGGCAGGTGGAGCATGGGGCTGCCATTTATGCCCAGGAGGCGGAAGGGGGTTTTTGTGGACACTCATTGTTAAAGCAGGGGTTTTCCAAGGAGACAGCCTTTGGGTCTGCTATCCTGGCTGCTCTGGGGATAACCCTTCCCAGTATAGTTGTGAACGTCAAGATACCTGAAGCCCAAGAAGGGGGCCTAGAAGGAAATTGAACTTACTGCCCACTTTCCATTTGGGTTCTGTGAAACCCAACTCTGTGCCAGGAGGCCCAAGTTCACCCCTCCCATCTCCAATGCATTGCTGTGCATGGCTCCCCCAGGTGGAGGCGCTGGGTCTACACTGAGGGTTAGGCGCTAAGCGAGCTTCTATCTGCTCTGGGCCCTACCTTCTGTTGAATGGCCTCTGGGCCTGGTATGCTTCCACCTCACCTTGTTTGTGCCATAAAGGATTGTTTCTTTGGGGCAAGGGGTGGCTAAAGGAACATCCTGGGCTGTGTCCATCTTCTGCAAGTCCACTTCTTGCACCATTGCCACCAGTGGAGTTCAGTGCGTGGTGGCTGCATGCACACCTTCCCACCCCTCAGCAGTACTGGGTGCTGGGGGTCTTTTGTCCATGGGACCCTGTTGCCTGTTCAGGGCAGTTTTCTTGTCTCATGACACAGGCCTTTAGCATTTCTGAGTTTGGAGATTAAGCGGGTTCTGTGCGATTTTTTAGCACATTCATATCTTTTCTACGTTGAATGTCTGGATCTTTTCTTTTGTGTGTGTGTCCTTGTGTGTCTGTATGTGGCCAGATGTTTGCAAGTGATGGTTCACAGGAACTTGGGGTCAGGTAGGGTTCTACTTTCCCAAGTTGGCCATTTCATCTTAGGTTTCCAGACAGAGCCATGTCTAAGCCTTTGCCCTTGCCCATGGATCATGGATCTGGGCACCTTGTGCCACTGAGGAAAATCAATGGGAAAAAGTGAGTAAGGCATATGGTTCAGCGGTACTTTGTGGTGACTGGCCTTTGTGCATAGTTCAGTTTTAGACACATTCTCTTACTGGTTGGAAACTTGTTTTCTTTCTGTGCAGAAGAATTACAAGTTGCCTAGACCTGACCAGAGCTGGCTGGAGGTATAAATTTTTGTCATTAAACAAGCTGTTCCTGGGCTTGGCCCACAGGAGCCAGATCTAGAGGCTGCGCTTCTCTTGTCAGAGGGCTTCCTTGGAATCATAGCCACAAGGACCCCACACCCACTGTTGAGAACAAAGCAGGACACATGTAGTGTCTCCAGTATGTTCATTGAGCTGGGCAGTCAGACTCTAAAGCGGCCATCAAGAATCTTGTTGCCCAGAGACCCAAAAGGATCCTGAGGAACACCCCAGCAGAGCCCACACACAGGGATGGCACCAGCAGTTCAGCGAGACTTCAGAACCATGTGTACAGGGCAGCTGGCATGAGGTGTGTGGACCTGGGAAGCTTCCTCTGGGGACCAAAGGACTATTGGGGCCAGTCAGGCACCTAGAGGAGGCATTGAGGAAGAGGATGGGTTGCTTTGGATCTAGCCAGGTGTCTGTTATGGGTGCTCTTCCATTATTGCCCAGTGGCTCTTTTCCCCTGGGAAGCATCAGGCCGGCCCTTGGGGTACATAGCCCACTGATGTCCTGAGACTGGTCAAAAGGCCTGTTTTGCAGGACTGCTGAGACACTATTGCAGCTCCAGGTGTTGTGCTGGGGACAGTTGTGAATGGAGCAAGGAGAGCTGGGATCTGCCCTTATGTTCCCACCTGCCATCTGTCATCCTGTGTGCCATCTTTTGCAAGATCTGGTTGTACTCCATAGGCCAGCCTTGCTGAGACTTGTGTTCTTGTGTGAGATGCTCCCCACCCACTCCATAATAGGGCCCTGGAGGGACCGACCAAGCTCCTGGGAGGGACCCCCTCCCCCAGGACTGCCTTGCCACTGTTTCTGATTGGGGCCCCCTGACCTGCCTTGTAGAGGTGGAATTTGATACTGTACATTGTCTCAATGCTTGTTTTTACATTTTCCTTTCACTAAGGGTTTTAGTTCAGGTGTATTTTTGGTCCAGTTGACACTAATCCTTTTCTTAAAATGCTGTGAGAACCATTTCATCCAAATGCCAAATAAACTTGTGTTCTGGAAGAGGTGTGGTTCGTTTATAGTGTGATAAAACTCCCAGAGCTGCCACAGGCCGAGGTGAGAGTGACTAGGGCACCTGCTATTAAGCAGACTCCCTGACACCTCTTGGCTGAGGACCAGATAGATCTGAATTTGGAGCCTCCAGGCAGAGTGTGCAACAAGAGGACCCAGCCCTGTGCTTGGCTCCCTCCCTCTGACACCCAAACCCTGCTGTCCTGGGCTTTGCTAGGGGAATGACAAGGCTGCTTTGCATCCTACTTGACCAGGCAGGCTATCCTGACTATTAGGAAACAGTATCAGATGGGCCAGGCATGGGACAGCTTGAACCTTGATCCCCTACCCCAACTCTAAGCTCTATTAGCCATTCAGGTGCCTATATGCAGTTTCTCCCTGAAGCCCAAGCCATCTAACTTTCTGAAGCACCCCTGGCCTCTGGTGCCTCTTCAGACCTGTTTTGAAGCCCCAGCTAGTACATGTCTAGGTCTCAGGATAGGGATCTGACTACTCAACATCTCCAGAGAGGAACTTATCCCTAATTCTTAAAAGAGTGCATGTGGGATGGGGAAGGGGCTGGGGCCCTCTGGAACTCTTCTGGAGTAAAATGGGTTAGACAAACTGCTTGCTTTTCCAGTGAGTACTGGAGGTCTGCTTCTAGGAACTGGGGCAGGGCCCGGTGAGACTTGGACTAGGTGCCCTGCTGGGGCTCACTCAGCTGGCAAGAAGATGACTCAGAAGAGCTGGGGGGAGGGCGGGGAGATGTGGAGCTTAGCAGAGTTGGGGCTTTGGAACACTTGCAGAAAAGTTTGGGAGAGCTGTTATCATTTGTGAGAGCCAGGGGCAGGGTCTGGTACTAAGAACTTAACTCTAACTTATGTTCTCCAAGTGTCCTTTGAAAACAAAAGGCTCAGGGTGAGAACCCTGGGTTCATCCAAGCTCACCCTTATAATCTAGACTCCTTCTGGCCCGGGATGTGTCAGCAGGTGCCCCCGATGGGGGCACTGCAGACCTAGCACGCTGGTGTTGAGGGTCAAGAAGGAACTGGTAAGTCTCTTGATAGAGATGGGATTTCCATTTCTTCATTTCTCATTCCTGAACACATCTGCTAGAGCTGGAGAAGTAGGAAGGCTAAATGGCCCTGTCTCAGCACCACGGACAGTGCCCCCTTCCCCACTCTGCTGCTGCAAGCGCCTGACCCGCTGGCGATTGGAACTAGGGGCCAGGTACAGAGGTGTCCCTCCACCCCATCTCGCGTGCGCTTAATGCGCTAGCCCAGTTTTACTCACACCCACAAGTATTCGGAACCACACCAGAAGCAGACGAATCATTTTCCAGGAGAGTGAACTGGGGGTCTCCCAAATCTGTGGAGCTGCTGCCAAATCTTGAGGGTAAGGGGCCGGGCTGAAGCTTCCCTGAGACACTCTGGTAGGGTAGTCCTTGGAAAGAGGGGCATAGGTAGGGAAGAGGCTGTGATTTGGGGATGGGTTGGAGGTCCCAGGCCTGCTGTAAAGCAAGAAACGTCCTCTCAGATCCCCCTCCCATCCTGGCCTCCCAAGTCACTGGCGCTGGGATCCAAGGTGTCCTCATCCTTTGAACAACTAACTTCCTTGCTGATGGCTTTGACTTGTCACTTCTAGTCCCCAGCGTCCCGTTTCATCTACCGTAAATGGGAATAATAGGGCACATAATCTCCTGCTATTGATGTCAGCCATTATGCTGGCATGCTGCTGAAGCCCTGGGATCAAGGTGTGTGCCTGGTGATTTTGGAGCCCTGACTCCTTGGTGGCCTTGACTGGGCTCTGCCCCCTCCGACCCTCTCGGTTGCTGCCCTGTCCCCACTAGCCTACAGGACAGCCACGCCCCTAGCCTATCCCACTAATGAATATGTAGCAACCTCACCTGAAGCCTTGCTCCAAGGTTCTCTGCCACTTAGTTTTTTCGAGCTGCAATCGCCTCCCCACCATGCAGGCGCTGGGCTGTGCGCTCCTCTTCCTCGCCGTGCAACTGATGGTGCCGGCATATTCAGAAGGTGAGCGCCAGGACTCTGCCCATCTAGTGTCTCAATCTGCCCAATCCCGCCACTCTCCACTTCCTGTTTGGTACTGCCAGTAGTTTGAGGTGAGGGGGCTTGGGAGGTTTCTCCTGGCCCAAGTCCCATTCTCCATTCCTGTGCCCAGTTGGGATGGGGGTTTGTAGAGGTCTCAGCTCAATCCCCTGCTTACTATCTGCAGGTACCTGGTGCTACGACTCCCAGGACCCAAAGTGTGGTGAGGAAAGTTTTGCATGAGCTGTGTGGAATTGGTCTGTGCCTTGGAGCCAAGAGTGGTGCAAGTGTGATCAAGAGACAGACTGCATATTATGCTTCTGTGTTCTCTGCAGGCTCCTATGTTCTGTGTCCAAGTGACTGGACACCAGACAGCTTGCATGTGACTGTTCCTCTGTATATATGTCTGGGTCTGCTGTGATCCCAGGCCTGCTCATATCAGTCAGAGTCTGTGAGCCTGTCAGTGTGGCCAGCCCAACTGTGTGCATGTAGTGGAGGTCCCCATTGTGGGTATGCAACCATGTAGTAGATTCCATTCACCCTCTCTGTGGGGCAATTTGCCTGCAGACTTGGTGGCTAGGTCAGGTGCAGGATGGGGGGAAAGGGATGCTGTGACATTTCCAGGTGCATGGAGGGAGCAGAAAGGAGTTTCCTGAAGTTGGGCTATTCTCTGGGTATATGGGGTCCACCCTCCTCGCCACCCCAGACTACCTCCTTGATCTACCCTACGGACCCTAGATCTTGTTCCCTTAGGCTCCACTCACTGGAAGGAGTTAGCCCCTGCTTGTGGAGGCCCAACCCAGTCACCCATCAACATTGACCTTCACCTGGTTCAGAAGGACTCTACTCTTCAGCCCTTCATCTTTCAAGGCTACAACTTGGCACCTCCAGGCCCTTGGTCCTTGGAGAATGATGGTCATACAGGTCAGCACCCTAGAGTCAGACCTCCCACAGAAAGGTCAGGAACCCCACAAAGCAGAAGGGAACTTGCAGTAAATACACGAGGATCAGGACTCACACATGGGAGCTGAACCACCATATAAAACCTCCACAAATGTAAGTCATTGACCCCTACAACTGGGCTAAAAAGCTCTAAACAAGGATGGGAACACCTGTATAAAAATAAGAATCTCCATTGCAGAGGAAATTCCACACACAGTGACCAGCACAATCCCCATAGATATCAGGACCTTCTGGAAAAATAGCAGCCAGCCACAGGCCCTGAGGACAGGGATTCAGGACACATCTAGAAGATACAATTCCTCCCAGGATCTTCTACCTGGACAGTAATCATAACCACACATAGCTGGGAGCCATTGTGCCTACCTCAGGAGGGCAGCCCTCTCCCCTGTTGAGCTGGTGAGGAATTTCCACTGCAGGTGGTGGTGAGTTAGCGGGGAAAGAGTGTCATATGCTCCCTCACCCTCAGTGCTACTCCACATGGACACTGGTCCACAGAATGGCCTGGAGATTTGGGGAGCCGGGCTGCCACCACCTGCCTACCGAGCTCTGCAGCTGCACTTTCACTGGGGGGCCCCAGGGCATACAGGCTCGGAGCACAGCCTGGATGGACAGCACTACTCCATGGAGGTGGGTCAGGCATGGGGTAGGGTGGCAGGAGTGCCCCACAGAGGTCAGAGGAACATGGAGGGAGAGGAAGCTGGGTACTTCCTGTGGTCTCTGCCTCCCCAGATGCACATTGTCCACATAAATACAAAGTACCAGAGCATGGAGGAGGCACGACGTCACCCTGATGGTCTCGCAGTGCTGGCAGTGCTGTTGGCGGTGAGGGAAGAACTATGAGGCTCCATGTGCTTTCCCAGAAAGGGGAGTTTGAAGGGGTATGGAGCCGGCAGGGTGGACCTTTGGAGTAAGAAATGGTTCAGAGATCTATAAAGTTTGTAGAATTTTAAGGATTTTGTGGAAGGACAGGGCCAATGGGATGTTGTGGATTTGTAGACTGTCACCTCCCACGGGCCCTCTCCCTAGCAGATCCCCCAGACTCCCGTTACCACTGGGAACTTCCCAGTAGAGTCTCCCCACTACTTTCAGAGTTCCTACCTTTGTATACCTTCCAGTCAGGGCCACTCACACTGGGATCCCTCCCCAGGAGCAGGACCAGGACAATGTCAACTTCTCTGCTATTGTGTTGGGCCTGAAAAATGTGTCTATACCTGGTGAGGAGCTGCTGGGGTCACATCTGGGCTGGAATTTGCTGGGGTGGAGAGGGTAGGGCTCAGGGAGGGAGGTTCCAATCTATCCTCCCCTCACCTTCCCAGGTGTCTCAGTGAATATGACATCCACCTTTCCATTGTCCTCACTGTTGCCAGGCCCCTTGGGGCTTTTGCGCTACTATCGCTACTCTGGGTCGCTGACTACGCCCGGCTGTGAGCCTTCTGTGCTCTGGACGGTCTTCGAGAATGCCGTACCTATTGGACGTGTGCAGGTGGGATCACTGCCCCTACCCTGGGCCAGGTTGCCTACTTCCAGTGGCTTCAACCCTCCCCTGCTTGCCCCACCCCCACCCCATCTTAACCCATCTTTTTTTCCCCTGAAACCTCAGATAGCCCAGTTCCAGACTGTGCCCCAGGCCAGGATGCTGGGCTTGCACCCTGAACCACTCACGGATAATTTCCGCCCTCTGCAGCCTCTTGGAGGGCGCAGAATCTTGGCCTCCCCCAAAGCCTCTATTCGATCAGCAGCTCCACCAGGATCCCCCATCCTGGCTGGTGTTCACAGGGCTCTGCTGGCCCTGGGGCTCAGCCTGGTGGTCTGGCAGGACCCCTAGAATTCAAGTATGACTTCCCTCTCACAATAAACAATGCACAGTGACCCTGGCCTAATGTGAATGGAGTGGGGAGACCTAAGGTGAGCTGCCTCCCTCCATGGGGACTCCTGCCCTAACCCCACTGAGGCCTCAGAGGATCTATCCATACAACTGGGAGATCACTGAGTGACCTTTCCCTACCCCACCACAGCCAGTCTCAGGATCCTCTTGTAGAACCCCCAGACTGATCCCCAGATCCCTCTCAGAGAGAAGGGGTCTCCACTCCCAGTCTACATTTCCTATATGAAAAGTTAGCACATCTTAGAAATGCCACTTTTAGCCAAGATTACACATTTTATTAAAATTCAATCTGGGTGATCAACCTGGGAACACTGTGCCTAGTTAAATGATAACCCCAGCTGAGATTTCCCAAGACCAGTAGGTAAGAAATTGCTGGTTCCAGATTCTGCTGCAGCTGGACTGGTTTGGTGGATCCTGGTGACATAAAAACTAGTAAAGAGTTGTCTGGCCATGATGAAGCCTCACACTGGTGACACTCTCTAAAGTTAGGCTATGGAGTCTTGATTGTAGGGTGACATTTTCTAGAGAGACAATAGTGTCCAGGCAACTGTGGCTAGACTAAGTGAGGGGTAAGTGTCCTTGGTGTCTCTGTCCAAAGCAAAGCTGAGTCCAAGGGATACTGACTGGATGAGATTATCCAGGTGATGCTATCCAGTAAGACAGGGCCTGGTTGTTAGTGGAGCAAAGCTGGCCAGAGTCAGGATGCCGTCCAGTTGATATGTGGGAATGTGGAGGAAATAGATGATAGATAGATAAATGATAAATGATAGATAAATAGCACATTTTTCTCAGTGGTACTGTCCAGGTCACAATGTCTCAGCCATCCAGGTGTCCCTGGAGTCTATTGCATAGTGGTGTGTGTAGGGGACTCTATTTCAGTGCATGGAGGCTCTGCCTCCTCCCTAAGACATTTAAAGAAAAAGAATATGCAGTCTCCTCCCCTACAGGTAGGGAAATTAGGTTGTAGACCCCAAGGTTTCTGGTTGCCCTTCTGGAGGCTGACATACCCTGGCCCAGATCCTTCCCCTGCATCCCCCGCCCCCCGCCCACCTTCTTCTTCTTTCTATGTGCTGGGGATCGACTCCAGGACCTTGCACATATTAAACAAGCACTCTACCACTGAGCTACGCCCCCAGCCCCCTTCCCCTACATTAAGGCCCAAAGGGGCTCTACCAGCCCTTTCCAGTCCAGACTGACAGCAGCGGTGATTATCCGGAGCCATCCACCCTTTGCAGACTATGATCCTGGGCAATCCCTACGCTACGCCGCCCACCCTCCAAATAAATAACCGCATTCGTTGACGGTTGTTGGTTGCTTGCGGACTCTTCTCGCTTAGAAATACGCTCCAAGAGGAGATCAGATCTCTACCTTGGCCTCCTTTGGCTAGAGGCGATTCCTGCACTTCCCTGGGCCGCCCTCAAGTGCGGACGCCCTCAATCTCCGCCACCTTGAGGGGCCGCTGGCTGCACGGGAGTTTTCTTGTGGTTCTTTCGGGCAGGAATTCGGTCTTCCGCAGGGCCATCGGGGAAGTCGTTGGTCGGCCTGGAAGCCACAACCAAGGCGTTCACAGTGCCTAGCGCCCGCAGCAGGGCTGGGGCTCGGGATCCTGCCCGCGGGACAGCACGGGGCTCGCGGCGGGCGGGTGGTGGTGACCGTGGCGGCGGCAGCAGCGCTCGCAGGGCGTCCAGCTCCGCCCGAAGCTCAGCGCGCAGCGCCTCCAGCCCCGTACTCAGCTCCGCCCGCACTGCCGCCAGGCCCTCCTGCAGCCGCCGCTCGCTCACTTCAAGGACGCCAGCCGGGTAGGTGGCCCCACCGCGCGGCTCCCCGCACACGGAACACACCGAACCACCGCTGCGCGCTTCGATCCTCTCGCCAGTCCCCCCCGCTCCGGCTCCGGTCCCCGCAGCCCCGGCCCCAGCGCGCTCCACCAGCCGTAGTAGTCGCGGTGCCTCGGCCCGTGCAGCAGCTTGGGCTCGGAGCTGGCCGCGCAAACGAGCCAGGCGGCCTGGGACGCGAACGACTTCAGAGACTGGCCCATTGGGCTGCGACCCTGGGTCCCGTCGGCGGCCAGCGCCTTGTCTCAGCGCTTCACTCGCGCCGTACGCATTGCGCGCCTGAGCCCAAGAACGCCCGGACTCTGCAGCCATCCGCACGCTGTCTCCACCACTACTGCCAGCACTAGGCCTGGCTGGGAGCCCCAGAGTGCAGCCTAGCAACCGCAGGGCCCCAGCGACAAGCGGTGGAGAGGGCTCCTGGGACAGCTGTGGGAATGATGGAAATCTCTAGGGATACGGCCTGAGGCCCGGGGAACCCGGATAGAGTTGGGCCCAGGATGGCTGGGGTTCCAAGGGAGCCTTGGGGCGGGGGGGAGGGGGGTGGTGGTGCCAGTGGGCATGATTGTGCTTGACTTTTCCGCAGGGACCATGCTGATGTGGGTTACCACATGAGGCTTGGGCTGGCTTTTGGGTAGAGGTGACATTGCAGAAGCCCAGGCACCCCCAGACCAGAAGCAGAAATCAAGCTCACATATTCTGTTGGAAGTTACTGCCCTCATCACAGCTGGGGGAACCTGAGTTTGTTCATGGACCCCATGCCCTCCTCACTGGCTCAGGGTTACCTGCTTCCACGTCATAGTCCAGACCACACTTATCTCTGAATTCTGTGCCCTACCCACACATAGCCCTTGTTATGGGCATCTCCAGCCAATCTTCTACCCCTCATTTCAACTTCTTCATGGTCTTCCATGCTCCCAGATGTGCCTCAGCCCTCACTAAGGCTGCTGAAGTCCCCGCCCATCTCATACAGTGTCTTAGTCATATCCTTTTTAACCTCTTCTAAACCAATTTTCTTTGCCCTTTTGGGCCTGTGCATAAGCCCCTGCTCCCCATTTGCTTAGCAGTTCCCACTTATCCCTCTTGAGCAGGGAAGCAGGGAAGCCTACCCCATGCCAGGTAACTCAACACCCCCACCCCCACCTCTGGACAGCATAATTTTCAGCTGGTGTTTGTTTGCTTATTTTTAAGCCATGTGTATTCTATGTTGCTCAGGCAACTCCTGGATTCAAGTGATCCTCATGCCTTAGCCTTCAGAGTAGATGAGACTACAGGTGCACACCATGGCACACAGCTCATAGACAATTATTTTAAAATGACTTTCTGACTTCCCATAGTGGGGTCCTGAACCAGAAAGGGATTATCTTCTCCTGGGCAGAGTCTGACCCAGGATGAGGTCCTCCATGTTGCTACACATGCTGAATGTTGGATGAAGAAACAAATGGATGAATGAATGGAGTTGGGATCCTCTCCCTATTTACAATAAAGAACTGAGGGAAGGGCTGGGGCTGTAGCTCAGTGGCAGAGTGCTTGCCTTGCACATATGAGGCACTAAGTTTGATCCTTAGCACCACCTAAAAATAAACAAATAAAATAAAGACATGCTGACCATCTGTAACTAAAAAAAAAAAAAAAAAAGAACTGAGGGAAGGGTCCAGGCCAGCCTCTCCCACTTGTCCTGAACAGTCTTTCCAACTCTTCTGCCTATCTCTGAGATCTCCTGGCTATCCTTGCTGGCTTCTTGCCCCTGTAGCCCTTTCACCTATTCTTTCCTAGCTGGGTGCCTTTGCAAGTGCCCAGGAGCCTGGGCCTGTTGCAATGGACTGTGGGCCCCTCTAGAGGGCAGTGTGTTCCCACTCAGCATGTTTTTTTCACTGCACCCCCAGGGGCTAGTTAGGACTCAGTGCTCTGGGCCTTGGGGCCTCCCCTAGCAAATTGTGAGGAGGGTGGACCTGGTATGAATCCAGGCTGGGCTAGGAGGGAAGACAGTGAGACAACCACTGGAACCTATGTCCCCAGAGTATACTTTCTGGCCTCTCTGCTTCTCTGTGCCTGAGTGTATGTAGAGGGGGAGGGAGAAGGGGTGTTGACCCTGCGCTTGGGCAGGGTCACCTGAGTCCTCTTTAGCTTATGCATTCACTCATTCACTGCAGCCTGTATCTTTGGAAGGTGCAGAGGAGAGGTGAGAATTTAGCACTCTGTCAACCCCTCAGATTCCCGCCATTCCTGCTGAGTCACCCCTGCCCCAGCTTCTGGCTCTGCTGATCCCTAGAGCCTCATTAGCCATACCCCCACCCCAACCCCAATAATTAAAATGTTGCTGACAAAAGAGCCTGATTCTTTCCCCAGGCCCGCTGGAGACAGGCTGTGTGACCCAGGAGCTGACTCTTCTCTCTGAACCAAGTTTGCACTCATGAAAAGAAGGAGATTCCTGCTATCCCTAGGAGGGGTTGGCAGGGAAGCCAGAAGGATGGCAGAGTGTGTGGGAGAGGCTCCAGGTTGCCAACTAGCAGATATAGATGTGTGAAGTTGGAGAGGCCTGGGCAAAGATAGGTGACTAGTTTGATTTTGTTGTCTATGATTATTTATAGACAGGCTGAGATATAAAGCCAAGCCTTTACACTGAGTTCAAGTTGGGGTTTGTTGGAGGTGCTGACGTGGAGCCTGTAACTTGTGGCAGAGGATCCCAGAGCCCTAGGTTGTGCAAGAAGCAGCAAGGGTAGAGTGTGAGAAAGCTTCCATGCATCTCAACTGATCCTGAGGAGGGCTGAAGAGATATTGGTGAGGGATGAACAGACAAGTGGACACAAACTCCTAAGCCCCTGATCTCAAATGCAGTAAAGATCGAGAAGTAAGTGGTGAGGACCCTGGCCCAAGCTTCATCCATGATGTCAGGGCTAGGGTGTCTGGAGGTGAAAAAATGTGATCAAGAGAGCACACAGGGGCTGGGGTTGCCTCGAATGTGTGAGGCACTGGGTTTGATTCTCAGAACCACATATATAAAAATAAAGGTCCATTAAAAATATTTTTTAAAAAAGAAAGAAAGAAGAGCACACAGTTCTCATCCAGACAGGCTAGACAGAATACAGGTGTTGCCCTTCACAAAGG